AAATACAAATGATTTCAGATAAAAGCATGTTTAAATAATAGTAGTTAAATGAGAATTGTAGTACATTGGTAGTAAAATACATAAATATTTTTGATTTACAATTCAATATGAATGAAGTATAAGTAATGATTGTGGAAGAAACGCATGAAATGTATTTGTAACCAATCGACATGCTTTCTACAAGATGTAATGAAGGATGTTTCTTTTTTGTGTTTTTGTTCAATTAAAACAATAAAAAAAACTTTAAAAAAAAGAAACTGGCAAGTTTATAGCTAAAACCATCCAACGGAGAACTTCTTAACTAGATCAGATTGGGGTCAACTCCCAAGGAGATGATCTTATTGGATTATTTTACTGAATATGTTTATAAATTCAGATATTCAGTTTATATATTAAGTTTAACTCTATTTTGATGACATGTTATGATTTGATATGGCCGTTTGATTAATCAGTAAACAATAAATGTAAACAATATAACCTAAATTATTGCAAGATAATTATTGCACCAGCTAATGGAAGATCTCCCATAGTTAAAACTCATTTTGATGACCATCTTGATGTCATCCAATGTTTTATTTCATTTTAAATAAAGGCACTTTGGCTGTAATAACGTATTTTGAAATTTAAGACTTGGAGTTTAATTAGCATCAGCCCTTATTTTCAGTAGCATCCTAAGCTGTTTTAGCTTGCATGGAACCAGTCACATGTACCAACCATGCACTGCTTCTGCTTTTACTGTTTCAGAACAAAGACAGTATTCAGCTTGGCGGGAACAAGTTGACAACAGTAAAACATCTGCATGGAATTATTTTTTCTAGGGCTGTCATTTGCCTGAAAAGTTCTGAGAACTGTCATGTGTGAGAGAACATTAATAGCAAACTCAATTTTCAGTGCTAGACAAAATGAGACCAACTAGCATTCAGAGGAAGAGACCACAATGTCTGAGCAGGACAGTTTTATGACATAGCTACTTGCTTTCTCAAGAACCTTAAAATAGTACTGTTTGGAAGAGAATATTTACAGTATAGTACAGGGCTGAACTATGGGTACCCTGGTACTGTCTGAGCTTGGATGTTTTCTTGTAAACATTTCATTACACAAGTATGTAATGTTATAAGTGCTAGGAAATCCCATTCCCTTCTAGAACTGATGGTGTTACCTAGCTGGGTAATGAAATGTCTTCAAGAAAACAATGAAGCTCAGAAGGCAGCAAGAGACCTGCAGTATCATTTAGTTCCACACATAAAATGAAGGAGAGAAAGTCTCACCAATGACAGCCACACTTCCTAAAGGAGCCACAACCATAACTGGAGCAAATCCATAGGCTGCGAAGTTCCCAATTTCTCCAATTCCCATAAATATAATTCCACACCACCAGAGTTTGCTTCTGTAACAAGGTTTCTGAATGACTTGTTGGGTCAACCGAAGATGAGAATATTTCTGAAAGTAAGATATAAGAATGAAAGATATGGATGAATAGATTAATGGTAAGTGAGCATTAATATGGTACTACAAATATTTTTCCACCTTAATGAGATAATACAGCTGTAATGGCAAACCTATGGCATGCGTGCCACAGGTGGCACACAGAGCCCTTTCTGTGGGCACACAAGCTGTCGCCCCAGCTCAGCTCCACCACGCATGCACATGCTCCCCTTCAGCCAACTGATTTTCAGATCTCTTGTTGTACATGCAAGGGGGGGGTGTAGTGCATGCGGGAGATGTGCACACATGTGCGGGGGGCATGCACGCATGGACAGGGGGAGCATAGAGGGTATGGTGCACGCACACACACACACACACACACAC